AAAAAATTTAAATGAAAAAAAAAATTCTTTTTAAATCATCATAAAATAATACAAGAAATCTTGTGGTGAAATTTTGTGTTAATAATATTATTTTTAAGCAGTTTTATTTTAAATTTATACAATAATATTGACTATAGAACTGGTTTTAGTAACTTGATGTTGATATTTTTATATTTTATTATATATTAACCAGGGATTGACATTAATTCTATCATTTACCCTTGTTGCGTTAACGTCGAAGAAACTATCGAGCACTGCATCTTCGAATGTCCCTCTAGCTGTTCCTTGTCGTTTGGCTTCATTCTGATGAAGAAAAAGTAGATCGATGAAACACAAATCAAATACTTAAAAACCGATCTTATTATAAATTATATAATATTTATATATATTATATAATATATATAAATGGAAAATAAAATTTTTAATTATATAATATTTATATATTTAACAATGGGAAATAAGTTAAATATTTCCAAATTATGTAACGGTAGAAACGAAAAAGACCCATCAATTTAAAAAATTTATTTTATATAATTAAAAAAAAACCAAATGGTATGTATTTCTGTACACAACTTTCAAAGAATCTCTGAATCGACGTGTTCACCAAAAATTACAACAAATCATAAATTCAAAATATATTTAATGAAATTAAATTAATTAATGCGAATCATCAATCCAACGCTTGATATCGATTCTTATGCTGATGAAGATCGTACGGCTGCCACAGATAATCCAACGGACAAGCTCTCCGTTCATCCAATCTCACCCATGGTTTCCCTTTACCGCTCCAATGCAACAGACTCACCGGACCCGAATGTAGTGACCGGCAGCTACCTTTCACGTTATCGCCGCCGAGTCCGTGTTGGTTCCACCGGTGGTCAATCGGCTCAATGTTTCCGGCGAACACCAGTAGAAACGGCGGCAACGAACCCAACTCGTAAATCCTCTTTTTTCTCTGCAATTCCATCCAGTTTTCGATTCTCTGACGGTAGCTGCCGGATCTCCATTTAACCATATCCATTACCATAACACCGGTGTTGAAATAACACGGGGTTTTGGATGCGAATACCCGAGACATTAACGGGTCGAACCAGAAGATATCGGTGAAGTATTTGGTGAAGTTTGCGTGGCAGTATTCCGGAGCTCCAATTACTCGGTTGTTTTGTAAATTGATGCTCCATAGCTTCTGTATATCGTCGACCAAAACGACGTCGGAGTCGAGGTAAATAACCCGGTCCACAGCCGGGTCAAGTATTTCGCCCAAATAGTTACGAGCGTAGTTTAACGGGTTCTCAAGCGCGACCCGAATCGACGACGATATCAGATTTATCACGGTGTCTTCCCGGAAAATGTAGACTTTGAAGCTGAGCGACGGGAAGGTATTCCGGACGATCCGGGTCAAGACCCGTGGACTCGCTGGATCGAACTCGGCGGCGATGATGTGGAAAAACACGTTTTCTGGACAGGAAGCATGGCGGAGAACGGAGTGTATGGCGGCGATCGACCCACGGAGGTACTCGGAATCGAGTGTCATTGCAACGTGGATGGTTTTATTGGAGCATTCGACACCGTTACGGTACTCCGGCGCCTCCACGAATCCGAGGAAATCCTCTCCCGCCTGAACTAAATTTTCTCCGATCACCGGAAAAGAACGAATTCCGAAGCACATCAACGGGAGAGAAAGTAACAGAAAGACGGAGACGATAACATCGCCTTTTGACGGCCTCCCGCGACTCCGACTGCTACCCATCTCCGGCGTCGGTTAATGAATCATATACAATGGAGGGTGTATGTATAGCTCTCTTTCTCTCTCTCTCTCTACATATATATATACCTATCTTTATATATATAACTTGGTCTGTGTGTATATATACATACAGGGTTTAATATGGAGGCTGCGTCGGTAATTATCAAAGTATCACGCGCTTTATTGATGCGTGAGAAGACAAGAGAAAAGAATGCTTTGATATTGAAGCGGCGCATGGATTACACGCGCTGGTTAGTTGAGCATGATTGAAAGTCATAGTTGGTAATTCATTTTCCAGCTCGAAAATTGTTAAAACCAGAATCTAAAATATATTGTCCAATTTAGTTATTAAAAAGTGACATTTAAACACTCCAATTCATATTAGGAAAATGTTTGACCTTGCTCCATAATACTTTGATGGTACTAAAAATGTAAAAATAGTTTTCAAATGTTTACTTATAGGGTTCGCTATTGTTAATCTCATCTCCACCTCATGAATTGTATTTGATACAGAAATTGATTTGATATATCTTATTATTGTTGATGTTCAAGTACGGCTATTTTTAATTTCCTTTAATCTTAAAAAATAGCATTGAATTTGTAGTACTAAAAAATTCGTATTTTAATTAATATATTACTAATTAATTAGTATAATGAAAAATGTAACCCATTCTTTTATTTCTTTGGGTCACCGACCATCCCTCAGGAGTTTTGGGTTATAATAGAAAATAGAATATATCAAAAGGTTAAAAATGATAAATCAAAAAGAATATAATAGTCAAAATGAAAATTATGAAAAAGACTTTAAAAGATTGTTTGTCTACCTTTTAATAGTTCTATTAAAAGACAAACTCTAAATTATTAAGAGGTGAATCTTGTTTGGTAAAAAAGTCTGTCATTTGATGGTTCTAAAACTCTTGGAATGATTTTGTATCATGTGTCTCCCTTAATTATTAAGCACCCCTATTTCATTATAAACAATTAGCAAACAATTATATTTCATTTTGCACTATATCATGAAAGCCTCTTAATCATTCTAACCACTTAATCATTGTACACCAAATCATTCAACAGCTGACAAACAGCCCCTAAATATGAAAATGATATTGCATTGTTTTTTGGGACTATTTGTATTTTAATATAGAGGGGTGCAAATGGGGTAGGTTTTTATAGGAGGGGTACAGATAGAATTTGCCTATTTATAATACAGTAATTTAAAACATTATATTTAAATTGTCAAAAGACTGATAAAATTTGATATTAGTTTTGTAGACATAAAGATAATCTTTAAATTTTGTGTATAAAGTATTTGAATTATTTTGTTGTAAGTTTAATTATGTTGTGATATTTTATATGCATGTTTATTTGATAGCAGTTCAATATATGTTAAAAAGGTTTTCTTATTTATTATAATGATTTTGCATATAATTTCAATTTTGGTATAAATTTATAACTATAAACACTTGATGTAGATATTGCTAAGTATGAAACAAGTATATTTCATAGCATTTGACTTTGTAGCTTTTGGTAACGTAATTCAATGTTATAATCGGAGTGTACCTTATTTTTCGACAATTACACGTTATATTGAAATAAAAAATGAAAATTTAATTACAAACAGATACTGAATGACAAGTAAAATCTTAATCAATAAGGTTGAATGTCAGCAACAGGAAGGTGTTGATTTATTAAATTTTATTGTTTATTATTCTAATTAACATATATTTAAAATGAAAAATTATAAAAACACACTAGAAATAATGTTTAGGGACTGTTTGACAGTTATTGAATTGTTTGGTGCCGAATGATTAAGTGGTCAGAATGATTAAGAGGCTCTTATGATGCAGTGCAAAATGAAATATAGTTGTTCGATAATTATTCATAATGAAATAAAGGTGCTGAATGGTTAATAAAACTAAGGGGTTGTTTACCAAACGCTTACTCGGGTAAGCGATTACCAAGTCATATTACCTAATCGGATGAATATGGTAAGGACCAATAATCTTACCTGGTAAGAGCGAGACAAAGACCAAGAGTCTTACACGGTAAGTGAGAGCGACGACTATTACCATGGTAAGCACTTACCAGATAAATTGTTGCATGCGATGTCTTTTTGGTGACTAAAATCCTACCCTGCAAGTATATAATAGTGTTAAATTTTATTGGTAAGCACTTACCGGATAGGTATTTGGTAAACGACCCCTAAACTTAAACTACCAATCGTAAACGCATTTGAATCTTGTGAAGACATTATGAACACCATGATAAAATAATTCATTAAGCTTGTTTACGTTATATGCATATTTAGGGGCTGTTTACTTGCAACTTAATTATGCTTATTGGTCTATCTGGCTTATTCGCACAGCCCATTTGGGTTGTTTACTTACGACTTATTCGCACAGAACATGACTTAATCGCACAGATAGAAATAATGTGTTGTCTCCATTCAGCCATAAAAATGACATCCGTACCCCTTATTTAAAGCATCACCTCTTTCACAAATGAGACATCCCATCGTCAATCTCTTTATGATTTTTTGTTTTGATGTTCAAATAATTAATATTGGGCGTAAATCGGTCATTTATGTCATTTAGACTGTTGGTTCAGATAAAAAAGTAAACAACACTATCCATTTATCCAGATAGACAAATTTATCCAGACAGACAAATTTATCCATACAGAACTTAATAAAAATTTTATTAAACATCCCCTTAGTTGTGCATGTGTTGTGTATGTTACGAAAAAGGAGAGAAAATAGAAAACATATATGCATGAAATTTCTCAAAAAAATATATTAATATGTATTTAATAAATACCAATAACTATCTTTTTAATTATCTGTTAATTAATTATAATCATTATTTTAATTATTTGATTACTAGTTAAAATAAATTACGAGTGTTAATATTTAACTTAACTACATTAAAAGAAATGTATTTTATCTTGAAAAATCTATTTTCAAAACACAATTTTGATAAACAATATAATATTTTTATAATAATTAAAATATATTTTATTTTTTTAAATACAATTTGTACTAAATTAGTACTTTATAGCAATAAAAAATTTAATATAAGGAATAAAATTTAATCCAAGCTGGACAAGGAAATTGGGAAGGTGAATAACCAGCTGTCAAACTTAATGGCGCGCCAACGCGCCAGCTGTAGGTGCAAGGAAAAAGTTAAAAGTGTATTTGTGGGCTCTGCTCAGCTCCAAAATTTGATGTTGACGGCTTAAATTTGCTCCTGTCAGTCGCATTGGCTAGTGGGTCCCACTGCCAATTGTCCACGTGCCTCCACGCCGTTTTGTTTTCGGGACAGCTCAGCGCCACTTTGTGCTCTTTCCTCTCATTGGCTACAAACAGACCAAACAACACATTTTCTTTTCGTTTTTTCTTTTATTTTTTGTGGTGTAACATAAAATGTATTCACATAAATATCGTAAAACATTGAACCATAAACACAAATGTGTGTACATTGAAACATGGGAATTAGAGAACTGTAACAACTTGGATCGTATGAATAGAAAATAAGATCTGTGAGTTTTTTATAAGTCTCAAGTTATGAGTTACTATCAACTTAAATCATGATTTTAAGTTGAATTTGAAGTTATTGGACCAATTTGTTATTTTATGCTTTGGGGTGTTACCATAACGAACATCCACTAACTAAGGGGCTGTTTGTTAGTTTCTGAATGATTGGTGTAGGATGATGATTTGGTTAAAATGATTAATAGACTCTTATAATATAAGTCTCATTTAATAAGCTGGATATGTATCAGTTATACAAGATTGTTACTGTTTTTTATTATAAAATTTAATCAACATAATGATTTAAAGTTTGGTTGCTTGCATATGTAATTGTTGGGACTATGATTTTTGTAGAATACTTTAAGCAAATTTTCACAAAATTAAAATATAAAATTAGAAAGAAAAAAAAAAAGATTACACATATATATGTTTTTTTTGGACATTTTCTAAATTTGTAAGTGGTTGTCTCCTTCATGTGGATCATAGAATATGCCTTTTTATATTATAGACCATGTGGGTTTCATGATCAATTTATTATTTCTTAAAATAAATTCTAAAACATATTTCTTCCCATTTTTTTATGATTTTTAAATAAAAAAATTTAAGAAAAACTTTGACTTTTTTTTTTTGGAATTTTGAATAAGAAATTTTAGGTAAAACTTCAAGAACAAATTTTTCTATAAAGTTTTTCAAATATATATTATTGAGCAAATTATATGAAAAAATGACGTACTTTTAAAACTTTCAACATGGTAACCGGTTGCAGCATTAACCGGTTACCATGTTGATGTTGGTATCCAGCTCAATATTATTTGCTGAAGTATTAACCGGATACCACTCACTCGTTGCATCAGCATGGTAACCGGTTAATTCTTCAACCGGTTACACAGATACTTAAATATTTAAAACTTTACATCTTAAGTATCAAAATTGAAGTTAAGTACGTTACCTATAATATGAATCAAGTTAAACTATATTATTTTTTCATGTTGCTCAATAATATTTATATATGACAAATATTTATACATAGATTTGAATATTTGGTTTCTTAAAAGGCTGAGCTCTATCGATACCCTGAGTACTAGTGTCTAACGACAATTTAGTTTGTTAATAAGTTAACACGTTATTTTTTGTTCACACAACTATTACATGTTTTTCACAACCTTAACATTAATTTGCTTTTTATTATATCTCACATTCAACATAAAAAATTAAAATGGATCAACATATATATTTTATCTGGTAAAAACCTATCTGTATTATATATCTATTTAAAATTCCACTCAGCTAAATTGTATGGGTATACCACTAGCATCAGCATCAGAATGGACAAAAAAAGATAATAAAAAAAAATGGAACATGATTGACATTTTATGTTCCCGACTTTAGATCAAAATGCACACAGTAGCATCACGTGTGTACCTTACTAGTTATTATAGAAAATAGCACACATCTTAATGACATTTATTAAACATCTATTAAAATACGTATTATAAGTATTTTTACATGATCGATCGATAATTTTCATTTTTTTTTCAGGTTTTTTAATAACAAATAAACCCTATTAAAATTCGTTTGAAATATTTCGTTGTATCTAAAGCTCGTGATGAACGAAGAAAACATCGGAAAGAACAAAACAAGATTCGTCGGAATGACACGTAATTTTTTCTAACTTACAATATTTAATGCGTAAAGTACAACAAATAACCCAAAAGTGGTTTGTGATCATCTCAAAATACAAATGGAAACAAAAATAACGAAAGGGACAAGTTAAAAATTGGGAAAAATATCTAATAAAAATAAATAAAATGAATAAAAATATAAATATAAATAAAATGAAATAAAAACAAATAAAGGACAAGGAGAGGTTGAGAAGGTAGGAGAGAGTAGTTGTGAGAGTGGTGGTGCACACATGATACACAAGGGACTTGTGTACAGGATCCTTTTCCATTGAAGAGAAATTACAAACAAAAGTTAAGGTAAAAAGTGTAAAAAGTGATTTGAACTCATGATATTTTTAATCTTAAAGCAACTTTCAAGAATTATGTTTTAAAAAAGAATTGATCTGGTGCTTTTCGTTAGTGTTGGTCTATTGAAACTCTTCAATTAAGATTGATTTAATGGTGGAGATCTATTTTTACCATTCTCACCGTAATTTTTATTTTCACTGGAACCTAACACTATAAATAAATAGTTAAAAAAAATAGAGTAAACTATAAATTTGGGTCATATGCTTTGTCAAAAATAATAACTTTTGTGTTTACAGTTTTAAAATTACAAGATGACTATCGTGGTTTTAAATTGTTTGAATTTGGTCCCTCTTTTTAACGGTTGTTAAAAAGTAATGTTAAATGAGGGGCATTTTTGTCATTTTATTGAATTTTATTTGTTTCTTTACCAAATCAAACCGATTTTATGGTTTTGGTCTATATGGTTTCTTGATTGGATAAAAGACAAAAAAATCAATAAAGGAACACAAATGTTGGTTCAAATCCATACGTTCTTACAAACCATAATGATCATCTTGTAATTTTGTATCTGTAGGTACGAAAAATGTTATAAAAAACAATAGGGGCTAATAGTCTAATGAATATTAACAGGGTCATGTAGCAGGACGAAACCAGGCTGATTTTATTGAATTGGGGTAGTGAAAATACGGGAATTGAAAATCATATTGTATGATACGAGTTTGATCATAAACTGAATATTGAACGGGATTCCAATTTTGAGTTGTGATTCAAACATAGTTTCTTATCTAAATGACGAAGTCTCATTAGAATGAAATAAAAACATCTGATTTAGATTGGATTGTACTGATAAATGATATTTTTATTATATCTAAAACAAATATACGAACCAAATATATCGGTTTTTATAGTTTCTACCAAGTTTTGCATTCGCTTGCATAATAAAATAATTATGAAAATTGATAATTAAATTAAATGTTGAAAAAATTAAAGTTAAAATATCAACCTTACATTTTTTTGGACACAATGATTTTGGGAGCCCACGTATTCTTTCGGTTGACCAACTAATTAAAGAAACTTTGAGTAAAATAATGAGTATTTTTGTTAGATAATGAGAGATTTTTGTTTATGAAATCAGTAAGAGACTGTTTACTAAACGCTTACTAACTGGATAAATTTCCTTATCGGATGAATATAACAAGGGTCAAGAATCTTACCGGGCAAGAGCAATGAGAATGATGGAGAGTATTACCTGGTAAGTGAAGAAGACGACTCTTACCCAGTTAAGCGCTTATCCTGTAAATTGTTGCATTCGATACGTTTTGATGTACTAAAATCTTACGCATCAAAATAAATTATAGTGTTGATTCATATCGATAAGCACTTACCAGATAAGGATTTGGGTAAACAGTCCCTAAGAAATTGTTTGTTTTTTCTGCTAATTGAAATTAAAATATGTTTGTTTTTAAGTTGACCAATTTTATTGAATTTACAAACTTATTTGTTCAATCATAAATAGTGTTTTCTTAAAGTATATTAAAACGCATTAAGTACACTTATGGTGCCTAACTTAAACAGCGTTAACTGAAACTCTGATAGAGCTTCATGTGCCGCTCATGCAAGTGGTAACTTCGTCTTTTTACGCTTGATCCATCCTCCCCACCTCTTTCTTAACCCAAAAAAAAAAAAAAACACAAGAACATAGAATTCATCAACAACATCAGATTCTTCAACAAGAACATCAAATTCATCGACAACGTTAGACAACAAATCAAGAAACAAACAGATTCATATGCAAATCAAAATCCTAAACCATTCAGATTGAAAAGCGTAAGAGGAAGTAGATTGGAAGCAGAAGCATATTGAAGTAGATCTCGAATATAGTGTAATACTTTAAATTGAACCTTGAAACTCAAGATCAATCAGCAACACTACAACCGGTGATGTATGAAGTATAGTCAGTTTGCAAGTGGGTTCAAACGTATCGAACAACTTGAGAACAAAGCAATGACGAGAATCACCTGAATAGAATCTATAAACCGTTTTTCCTCTTTGGAATCGACGAGTGATCTGTAAGTGGGGCCAAATAGGACACATGTACAATTCTTCCTCTTCCAAATCGTATTATTCCAAGATTGTGCAAGCACGGGGTTGAGGAGTGAGCTCTCTAAACAAATCAGTAGATACCGTATTCACAAAGTCTAAACAAATTGAAAGAACACGCGGTACATGGTTGTTGGATTGAGTTGGGAAGGGGTTTGATTGGCGATGTGTTTCACTGCTTCTCATTTGGGGTTGATTTAGAGTTTAGGTTTTTCCCCCACAAAACACGGAAATATTAAAATGACAAATTTGCCCATCATGCGAAGGGCACAAGGGTGGCTGACAGATCACATTTTGACAGTGTTAAATATAGGGACCGAATTGTTAAGAAAAGTAATGGTTAAAAATTATTGACTTAAAGGGTCTTGATCCAAAAATTGGATTACAAATCAACCTTTTTGTTTAAAATATCTGATGATTAGATTTATGTTTCCCGAAATATAAACGAAAACAAATTTGTTTTGATTAAATATTTAAAATACGACGTAATATACTAAAATGAAAGTTTTTAATGGGTTATATATTGATTTTATTTGGTGCATGTGGTTTGTCGAAAATAGTACTATTTGGCCTTATAGTTTTAAAATTACAAGATGACATTATGGTTTGCAAAAACATATGGATTTAGTCCGTTTCTTTAATATCGTTAAAAATTTCGTTAATTGAGGGGCATTTTCGTCATGTTTTTGATTTTTTTACCCAATCAGAATCAAATTTATGGTTTTGGTTCTTGTGGTTTTACTCTCGATAAAAAGAAGAAGAAAATGCCTCTCATTTAACATCATTTTTTTATGACTGTTAAAGTGATGGATGAGATCCGGCCATTGTTACAAACATGGGTAATCGCTTATCAAGTCACTTTACTTTATCGGATGAATATTTTAACGATCAATAATCTTACCTGATAATGATGAGGCAAAAACCAATAGTCTTACCCAGTAAAAGAGAGCGCAAACTCTTACCATAGTTGGCGTTTATTGGTGTCGTATACAATGCCGTTTTTGCTGACTAACTTACTCAATAAGTAAGTAATAATATTGAATTTTACCAGCAAACACTTATTAAGTAAGTATTTAGTAAAGGACCATTTACTCTAAAAAAATAATAAAACAAAAACTTTTAATTCAAGTTTAAATACCAAATCATTTAATGGTCTCGTATTTTAAGAACCATCGATGACGGTGGCCTTAAAAAACCTGTGAAACGAGCTCAGGAAAGATCGAAAGGGTCACAGTCGCGCGGTGTCTTTTTTTGTCATTTACTTTGCCTTTTTCTTTATTTATTAATCACCTTTAATTAACTAATTAAATTATATAAATAAATAAATTAACAAATACTAATAAGTAGTAAATAAAACGGGTCCCATTTTTAAATATAAATGATTGCGTCAAGAAATTAACAATAAAATGACATGACACCTAAATAATAATTTGATTAGGTGGCATGTTGCCATGTACATATTAATGCACCAAAGACATGATTATCGACACCCCAATCGACTTGACACGAAACCCTCTTTTAAGTACGTTAACAAGAGGGGGTATTTTCTGACTCGTACAACACCTGATGCCAATGGGAAGACAAAAGGGGAGGGGGCAGATCGGGATCGAATCTGGGATGTGTATTGTATTTAGATAAAGTCACTCCACCGTTTTACCAACCGAGCTACTACGACACTAAATACATGATAATAAAAAATATTTTTTTTATGTAAACATCCAATAAAATTAGGTTGAGTTCCTCAAATCAAACGCATCAAGTACAATAATGGTCCTTAACTTTTACTTTTCTTAACACGGTTAAATTATGGTCCGTTAGACCCTCATGTACCCTTCACGGTTAAATAATGGGTCGATTTGGATATTGGAGCGAGGGTTTGATTTACAAGGTGGTCCCCTGCTTCTCATGCTAGGAGGAGAAGAGGGATTAACAGATGTTATTTTAACATTGTTAAACGTAGAGACCAAATTGTTATAAAAACTTAAGTATTATCAGTGTGCCTACGTGCTTGACAGACTCGATCCAAAAATTAGGTAAAGACTAAAGATGTAATTCACTTAATTTTTTTTTACTTTATTGTAAATGATGACTAAATTTATATTTCCTAAAAAAATAACAGAAATAAAATCTATTTTATTTGATTATTCAAAATATAAGTTGTAAAAATAGATTTTCTATGAATAAACGTTATCCATAGAAAATAATAAATGCAAAAACTATAAAATACCAAATTATTTTACCAAGTTGATTTAATTGAATTGGAGTTGTTTGTTTATCTTTTAATAGTTTTATTAAAAGACAACTTCTGAATTATTAAGAAGGGAATCTTGTTTGTCAAAAAAAAGTTTATCTATTAATGGTTCTAAAACTTTCTGAATGATTTTGTATCATGAGCCTCTTTTAACCATTAAGCGCTATAATTTTATTGTAAACAATTACCAAACAATTATATTTCATTTTTCACTATATCATGAAAGCATTTTAATTATTTTGACCACTTATTCATTATGTATCAAATCATTCAGCAACTACCAAACACCTCCTAAGAATCACTGAAGACGGTGGACTTAAAGTATCTCTAACTGTTTTTCTATATTTTTCTAAAATAGAGAATTAAAACATGAATTTTCTAAGAGATTTTAATACAAAATATATTATTATAATATTATCTAGTTTATTATCCTGATATATTTTTTTATAAAAAAAATAATAACTCAATCTCATTGGTTTTATTGAATAAAATAATCATTTCTCTCTTCCAATGTTAAGTTTTAAAAAATTCTCTATATTTAGAGTTTCTTTATAATCCTCTTTTTTTAGAAAACAAGATAGCAAAACTATAAAAAAATATTAGAAAATAAAATATCATTTTTCAATTTTAAAGAAACTGTTGAAGATGCTCTTAAAAAATCATATAAAAACACCCAACTGATAGATAGGATCAGGGTCAGGGCAGGATCAGACGATAATTTTTTTGTCATTTAATTCACCTTTTTATTTATTTATTTAACACCTTTAATTAACTAATTAGATTTTACCCAATTTTAAAATTTAAATAATTAAATTAAAAAACAGTAATAAATAAAAATGTCCTACTTTTAAATATAACTGCCGTCAAGAAGTTAACGATAGAATGACGTGACACTTCAATGATAGCCTTTATAAAATTTGGTTTGGTGGCATATTGCTATGTAAATATTAATAAAAATATAATAAAAAATAGTATTTTTTTCAATATAAAATGATGTAAATTTAGGTTGGTTTAATTGGTGTTTTTAAAAAAAAAATTATTTTCCAACACTATTTTCATCGTTAATTTGTCATTATTATTATTAATTAATTAAAAAGATCATGGTTACATTTTTTTTAATTTGAAGTACAATGGGGACTTTTGTTTCAGATTAAGAATTTTTTTTTTGATTAACCTGGATATCTAACCCGTTATGTGAACCAACTAATCCCAGGACGACTACCTGCTTTGCAGACAGTCTTAAGTCATCGCATTTGAATTTCCGTGGCCACAAGGAGATTTTTATTTCTCCTTGGATTTGAACTTGAGACCTCCTGGTACTTTTGACATTTGGAGCCAAGCTCAAACCAATCAGGCACCACCCTTGTGGTTTGTTTACTGAGTTTTGAATCGAGCTGGAAAGGAAAGGATTTTGAATCGTGGTTATGCCCTGCGATGAGGGAAGTGTAGCTACGAGTTATTTCCTATCGGCTCCAAACGAATGTATAGAGTTTGCTTAACTTCTTAAAAGGACATTTGTAATCACAAATCCATTGTATTAAAAGTACGTGTATGATGTATGCAAACTTTATCTTTGTCTGTATGATCACGCAATTCTTTCTTAACGAAGTTAAAAAGGAGAAGTTTATCAACCGGGATTATTGGTTCCAAATTTGGTCGAAATTATGTAACTACTCAAAATAAATATATCGTGATCGATGTTTTCCAATAGTCGAACAAGCGAGTTTTGGAATGTTTTATCTGTAACTACCACAACGAGACTATTTGCTATGAAACTTTACAAAACGGCGACCAATAGAATTAATATGTGCCGACTATAAGTAATGAAATAACGATCTTGTTTAAAGCATGTTCCTTTGCAAATTCGTTCGAGGATTATCTCAAAATAAAAGGTTTGCATGTCATGACGGTCTGATTCCGGAAAAACAATGATCACGAACAAGTTCTCACACAATTATCCCAACACGTAGTAGAGTTGGTTCTGAGGTGATATATTTACATAAACAACTGATTACAAGAAGATTACATTAAAATCCGTTCAGTATAACTCATCCATCGTAACCACCCATCAATAATTAGTACTATCAAATCATCGAGTCTTCGGCTAGATAGTTTACGCACGTATCATAGTCTTCATTTTCTAGTATATATCTTACCTGCTATATCAGATAGACAGAAACCATTAAAATATATACAGGGACCTCCCTTTCTTTATAAAGGGTCCGTTTAGAGTAATTCTCACATGGTATCAGAGCCGGAGTCTACATACCTTTTCCACGTGTTTTGACCTTGTTGATTTGCTGTATGGTCAAACGGGTTTGTCCGTCTGTTTCTCGTATAGGTAACTGCAATGAAACGAATCTTTTAACGAAAACATGCCAATATGTTTCTCGGATTACGACAAGAAAACCAGAAAGAGATTACTACTTACGCATTCAAACCGAAACATTTTATAGGTAGTAACTATCGATCTGGCATTTGCAGCATAAACTTCATCTACAAATCTTCCAGATTCTCTTGTTTTCTCAGAAGCATACAGGTCGAGAAGCTTGTTATCGACCTCGTTCATGGTAACGGCTCGAAGCTGATGTATCGTTTCAGATCATATCGACAAATAAGATAATATCCGTGCAAACACACTGTTGGGAAGTCTATACGACAACAAAATCGGCTTTACGAAAATAAACTCTCGTCCCCGCCCCGTTACCCGTCAAAGAGGGGAATCCTGACCCTGTTAGGGTTGGGTACCCGCCCTTGACGGATAAAATTTCCATCTATATGCACATTTGTTTGCTCCAAAGAATTTAAATCTATTAGAACATTTAGACATATTCGGTACCCATATAGCCGATTTTGTGTGAAAGTTAGAAATGAGCATGTCACCTGTCTAGATAGCTTGTTGATCAGCCTTTCTATCGAGAAAATTAGACCCGATGAATTCCCGAAAATTGTTCGACATTCATTTTCGAACTTGTCTTTGTAAGCACCGGTCAGATAGTTATGAAGAAGATCCAAGAATCTATAACAAAAATGGAAATAAAATCAAATATGTGAACACGACCACAACGAATTCGAACCAGTTCGGTTAAAAGGAGATTAAGCATACACGGGATATGAATCGTTTGCCAGCCGCTTGGCCTCTTCGAGCCTTCCGTAGAGTGCCTGTTAATTAAAGGAAGAGATCAAATACCATGATAGTAATAAATAGATGAAAACTAGAAATCTGGGCTTATAGCAGAATATGGTTTACTTGATGAAGTCTGAAGAAAACGTAGAAGGCATCATCTCCGTAAAATATCAGCGATCGATCTTCCTCCTGGACGATATCGACATTCTCACGATCGTTTGATGATGTTTCTTCTACTGCATTATCAGCAACTGCTTCACTGCCCAAAACACCTTCCTGATCGTAATTTTGTTCAATATTGTGCATGTGTGCTGCAAATCCCCCTTTTTCTAGATCTACAATGGGAGAAAAATCAATCTCATTCGTCAGAAACTCAAGGAAACCGTCGGTTCCCTCTTGCCCACGAGTTCCTTCCGGTTCGTTAGTAATTGGTGCATTATAATTCATAATCTGTTCATTGGAGATGCGGGTTTCTGCAATATGTTTGCTGTCATCAGTGCATCCTGCAGACCGGAGAAGAAGACCAAACATGGATTCTACTAATGAAGTCCAGATCTTCATGGCTCTATCAAGTTGTTCAGATGAACAAATATCTGAACAAGATTGTTCTATGAGCTGATACAAGTCTTTATGGATGTCCATGTCCGAGTAAACAAATTCCAGCTTATTGATGCCATTGATTTCAGCCAACAGATCTACAATACGAAAAGGGAAATCATGAATAATAATCATTCATGGTTAATGAAACTGGAAACCATGACGAGGGTATGATCAGATTACCGTTATTAGACAAGAACTTTGAGTCTTGCTGCTCGAGATAGGCATCTTGATGATCTAGTGACATTTCATGGTTTACAGCGAAAACTGGTTTCCAAAGCTTATTGAAACCAGAAGAGAACATCCTCCATTCCTCTTTTTTCTGCTTCAGACGGCTTAATATTCTCGGCAGACTAAGAGATACATCAGTTCTTAGTTCCTTGATGACATTAAGCCCATAATCACCATAAAGAACTTTTATGCACCTCAAACTTGGACCTAAGTAACAAAGAGGAATAAAGTGGTGAAAAACAATATAAAGATGAGATTTTCTTCTTCTTCCGGTTAATGATCAGCATCTTACCGGAAAAGTACTCTTCAACAGGAAAGAGACCATCTATCTCGATAGATTTATCAGAAATCATCATCACTAATTTCTCTGCAAGTTCAATTGTAACCTTTACGCATTCGAGAGCCATGTCCATCTCATGCCTGAAATACAAATACCAATATCATGCACTACCTATACGAACATCATCTATATGTAGAGCGAGGTTCACGGGGAAATCTCAAAAAATTGAACCGAGAAACACCTTGGCAACCGTTTATCTGGACGGTATAGACGTGGGCATACAAGTAATTGAAGTTCTTTTTGGTCTTTATGCAGGTTATGCACATGTGCATACCTGAGAAATTTCTTGCAAAATACTTGTATGCATATGTGCATACCATCCAAAAGACGAGTTACCAATAGTTACTAGGGTGTTCCTCAGTTTTTCATTTTTTTATGGTTTTCATTTCAACACGCCATATATGAATACGAGTACGTGGCTAAAGAAGGATTTTTTTTTATTACAATTAAGCAATGAGAAAGGATCTTGGAAGTTAAGATCGAACAATACACATCTCAAAGCCTACCTCTCGTCTTCAAATTCAGATAACTTATCTTCATATCTGTTTTTGAAGGGATGTTCGAAATGGCGACCATACGAAGCAGACACCCAGTGATCGTTCAATACTTCTTTGTCTAGTTGCTTTCTTTGAGTTGTTGCAGGAATAGGATACTGTAATACACAAAATCCATTAATCGAAGATGGTAAAAAGAACAAGTTCAAAAATGGAAAATAAGAATTAAAAGTCTATGATGCAAGAGAAACTACATTTTTCGGGACAAGTCTGTAACTGGGAGTGCAACTTTCACAGTTAGATAAGTCAAGTTCACGAAGCGGTTTCACTTTGTTGTTGTCTTTCTTTGATACTCGAGACCGTTTCTTCTTTCCCTTTTCGACTGTAGGTCTACTGCTGGTGGCAGACCGTTTTCTCTTTCCCTTTTCGCTGATTTCTTGACCGATTTCCACCTTATTTTCGTTATGTTCTACGTTACCATCCTCGGTCTTATCACTGTGGTTGAGAACTTCACTGAATTCTTTCTTAAGGTTTGGATGCTCTTGGAGTAAATCATGCACCTAACAAAAATGAATGTTTCTTAAAACCAAAACTATCAAAACATAGTAGACTGAGTAGTGATGCTTAACATAATTAATCATTGCATTATGTGCTTTAAAACAAACACACACTTATTGATAAAGAACATAAATACAAATTCCAAATTTACCAAAGATTGCAGTTGTTGTCGATCTATGTTTTCCGTTTGGTAGTGCTTAATGCACTTCAAAAACCGCAGGTAGTCATCTGAATCGCGTACTTGTTCCCTCACCGTTTTACAGAGACAAGCCACTCGATCATGCATATCTGCCAAAAAATTGAATGTAAGGATCATAAAGAGCTCATAAATTTAATTAAGAAACCTCTTATTCTTCTATATTTGTCAATGGAACAACTTCTGCTCCTAGACAGTGGCCATCTAAGCATTCTGAATTAGATACCTGTGGGAAAAAGATTGAGAACAATGTCCTCAAGACTACGAACGTAGCTTTTGTACGTAGACCCGTGTTGCTTATGTTGATTGTGAGCGTTGTGGTAATCGGGAAATAAGTTGGTAAACTCCATATGTAAGTCTTCATGATCACGAAGAAGATCAGCAACCTGAGACAAGATGGTAAGAAATTCCACGTTAAAAACAGTTGCAAATCGATGTGTTAGATTCAATGACACATATATATACCTCTTGATGGACCTGAAAAACGGATCTTTTTCCCATTCGATACGAATTTAAAATCTCAAGAAAAGATGTGTAAATATCATAATTATCTTGTAGCCCCATCTGCAAGAAAACAGTCATTAGAATAATAAAGAGTAGTTTAATTAAGTCAAGTTGCTCTTATGATGTTATCACCTTCATATTGTTAACAAAGTTCATGGCTACTTCATCTTGAATCGGCTTCTTATATTCGCGAAGCTCGTCTTCTTGAGTGAGATTGAATTCTAATTCCTTTGGGAGATAGTTGTTAAAAGTTATAAGCAGTTCTGGATGTCCTGCAAATAGCTCCACCACCTTTTCTTTAACGCCGAAGAAGTCGATCCTACCAAAGGTATGATGGATGTTTTATAGGGGGATCAACTACAAAAATACGATGAAATCGGAAGAAGCTTTAAGTTACACGAACCTGTTTTTACGAAATTGTCGCATGATACCAAGAAACTCGGTATATTTATCGTCCGTCAGCGTCTCTTTTATGGTGTTGGCATACCTTAGGCAATCAGATTTTAGCAGTTGTTCTTGGTCTTCACCACCCATCATTTGGGGTTCCCTGGGATTTCTTCATCGGACAAGATTAAATGAATGAATTAAATCGTTGAGCATAAGTAACATAAAACTACTAAAAGATCAAATTTGTAGACAAGATTTTGCATTTAACCCGAAACTGCAGAGGCGGAACACAAATGGCCTGGATAAGTAAATAGTGGAGGAATCCAGAAGAATTTTATACTACCTTAATGGACTAGATTTGCTTCACTCTGTTGTAAAAAAAAAAAGCCCAGGGTCGAAGGCCTCTAAAGGCCATCCCCCTGGGAAACTAGAACACTCAAAATTCACTGAAAAATATATATATATATATATATATATCCAAGCACTTAATCTAGAATGATTAATCGAGATCTGAATACTGAGAAATTAATTCTGCCTTTAAAAAACAAAAGCAATATAAGAAGATTATTGAAGAGGATTTAAGTGATATCTAAATCTAATTAATGCGCTTAATTCAATTAAACAAAATCTGAATAGTTAAAGAATCAAACCACAAGCACTTGATGATCATGCATGACTTAATAGATTATTTAATGTTGATTAAAAAAATTATATAATACATACTCGGTCATAAAATAAATGTCCAAAATAAAAAAAAATACAAGTTTTTAAAGACATGTAACTATTACAATTTTCATTAAATAAATGATACAAAGAAATACTTTAACTTGATTCATATTTTGGGTAATGTACTTTAAAACTTTTATTTTTGTACCTAAATGTAACGTTTTTAAAATATTTAAGTACCTAGGTAACTGGTTGAAGCATTAACCGGTTTATCATGTTGATGTGATGAGTGATGTGGTATCCAACTCAGTATTATTTGCTGATGTGGTCAGTGACATCAATTTTTTTTAAATCTAAAATTAATATTCATCGGTTACCCCGATACTTAAATGTTTAAAACTTTACATCTTAGCTACAAAAATGGAAGTTTTGAAAGTTTGTTACCTAAAATAGGAATCATGTTAAAATACATTATGTTTTCTTACAATTTATCCAAATAATAATTATATGAGAGAGGATAATGAATTTCTCAAGCACTTGTTTTTTTAATATGGACATATATTTTAAGATAAAGTAAAATAAAATTATAAACATTCATTTTAAGAAGGAAGGTTAATATTTTAAATACCAATTAAATTACTCTCCACTGAAACCATTAATAACAATTAAATCGAGAATTGAAAGTTAAAATATTAAAAGAATTATTTTCAATTTTAATATATTTTTTATTTTAAAGATTTTAATATTAATTATCTTATTAAAACATTCTTTTAATTTTAAAAATTTATTCTTAATTTAAAATTTTCTCTTTTTATTTTATAGAATAATATAGGGGGTCTTCGGATTACTTATTTGAAACAATTTATATTTTTTTATAAAAAGTCTTTATCAACTTATTACAAGTTAGAACGGTTTAACTTCTTCAAAAACTTTTTATTACCGGTTTGACACCGGTATAAGCTGTTTATCCAAACACTCAAAAGTGTTTATTATCGATGTCACAACAAAATAAGTCAATAAATTGTTTTTATAAACAATCTAAACACCCTATAAATATCACGTTATATCGAAAAAGAGAACAAAAGAAACTATCGGAGATGTTCTTATAAAAAAAATGACTTGGAAAGACTACGATCTTTCACTCCAAGCAATATTCACACTTGAAAATCACACCAAATGATCACAAACTTTTGAAAAACAACGTTTAATCTAAATTTTAGGCTTACGATCCATCTCCGTTAGTCGGATCAAGGTTAGGGCTCTGGGCAACTTCATCGATGTCATCTCCAGACCTCGTCATCCCTGTAAAAACAACGGAACTCGTCAAAAATTAACCAAAATGTTTACCGACAATTGGAACCCTCATTTAACAATCAAACCATCAAAAGCCCCAGAAACCAAAGAAAACGACGGAAATCAAACGCAATCGCACCTTTAAATTGATCAGCGTTACCGGTTTTCATCTGCGAAACGAAATGTATCATATGAGTTTCGAGGTTTATTGAAAAGAAAAACCTCAAAAATTGCAGGAAAACACTCGACGATGATGAAATTTTCACTTAAAAATGTCACAATTAGTCAGGTTTCAACCAAATTCAGTTGCGAACCTTTTGAAAACTGAATGTATATATACCGTATTATCAACTGAGTGTAGATATCCTCTGAATTTTGATCCAAACACTGTATCTATCGATCCGACTGTGAAATCTAGAGAGAGAGAGTTTTGTGCATGTGTTGGCTTTAGATATAAGAGCTTGTATATATATAGGAAATGGAGTGGAGAGGATGATCACCTGGTGACCGGCAACCGGTTATGTGGGTGAAATGTACCAAAATGTAATAAATTTTTATTCATTTTTTATTTCGTGTAATAAATTCTTTTCTAACAAACTTTCGATATTTTCTATTTTTTAACACATTTTGACCTCTTTAGGAATCAATACATTTAAGAATTGTTTGGCAATTGCTAAATGGTTTAATGTAGAATGATTAAGTGGTCATAATGATTAAAAGGCTCTCATGATATAATGCAAAATGAAATATAATTGTTTAATATTTTTGTACAATGAAATTAGTGCTCTTAATGGTTAAAGGAGATCCAAGATACAAAATCATTTAGAGAGTTTTAGAACCATTAAGAGGTAGATTTTTTTTGCCAAACAAGATTCATCTCTTAACGATTCAAAAATTGACTCTTAATAGAACTATTAAGAGATAAACAAACAAACCTTATTTATATCGAGTGGAAATATATCTTAAGATGAAGAAGAAATCTAAATCCTTGATCACTTATCTCACTTTCATTCCATAAATTGCATTTATTATGGGAATTGATTTGGTGTACTGTATTAATGTTGATTTTCAATTAAGATTGATACAAGAATGAATTTTTTTACCTTTCTCACCATAACTTATATTCTCACATAAACCCAACTTTATTGAAAATGTAACAATAGAGGTTGTTTGGTTTATGTCGTGGAATGAAAATGAGAATGAAAATAACAGATAATGAATTCTCGTTTCCGTAGTTTAATCTAGAATGAAAATTTGGGTTTATAAGGAATGAACCCATTATATTATATAATACCAAACAATTTCTTGTATTTTCATTCTTATTGGTTACTGCTTAATATCACTAACCAAACACCCCTTTATCATGCACTTCTAACAGGTTTGAGAATGTTATTGCTTAACAAAAAAGACCCAAATTTTTTATCCAAAACATGTTGATGTTTGATTACTAAGCATAAAATAGTAAACTTCAACACTTTGTTATATTATTAATTGAGTAAAAATTTGCTTCTAACCAAAAAATTACTGGTCCAGTGATACTCGGGGTTACCAGTAGAGACATTGCCTGTTAAAAGACCAATGATTCAAACTTCACAAAATATAAGTGCGTATGTGGGTATTTACCATATATGAATATTCATTTTTCAGTCTCGAAATAAATGTTCACAATAAAAAAGACACACAATTTTAGAATTGTGTAATTATTAAACCTTCGAGAATTAAGTAAAATTACAAAATTGTCCATCAATTAACATCAAACAGATATAAATTATATGTTTATAAAATAACATATATTTTTTCGGATTTATTAATATGAAAAATTGTTTTCTTTCTGATCTTTTATGTCTGTTTTATTCCTTATAAAAAAAATATATAAAAATCTTCCTTTCTTTTCTTCCAAAATGGAGAAGTTTCATTTTGTTTTTATGTCAAAATATTTTTTTTAAATTATATTTTCACAATTATTAATACTTCTTTCATTTAGATAATATGATTATTTGTTCAACATTTGAATATTAATATATAAATTATTAATATATAAAATTTAAATATAAAAATTTGATTTTTTTAGATAAATAAGCTTGGAAAAAATAATCGTTGTAAATAAAATAAACACCGTTTTTATCTGAAAAATAATACTTCCCCCAATTATGTAATTAATTGTTTGAGATGTTGTTTGACAGTTACTGAATGATTTGGTGTTGAATGATTAAGTGGTCAGAATGATTAAGAGGTTCTCTTGATATAGTGCAAAATGAAATATAATTATTTACAATGAAATTATGGCGCTGAATGTTTAAAGGAGGCTCATGATACAAAATCATTCAGATGGTTTTAAAACAATTAAGAGACATTTTTTTTTTCAAACAAGATTCACCTCTTAATGGAACTATTAAGAAGTAAGCAAACAACCGCTAAAACTGTTTAATGTTTAAATATAAACAATCAGATGCATTTATGTAAATACCCTTGATTTGTAACAGACAAGGGTATGAACAAAATAATGTTTTTAAGTAATTCAAAAAATTAAACCTTAAACGACTTAATTTTGACCAATAATTAGTATTAGTCAAAATATGGTAAATGCTTTTCAATAAAGGTATTTTTAGAAATACTTTTTGATAAAGGTTAATGTTGAGATATTTATGAAAGATGATTATAATTCATTAATTATGATCAACATTTTGTATTATAAAACAATCAAGATATTTATGAAACTACATATTCACTAGATTAAATGGACGGCTGGGATGGAATTGCAATGGTTGTACAAATAGGATATGTTGTATAACAAACCACGTGTGTGTATATATATATATATATATATATGAGCTTAATCATATGAGAACTTCATATATCGTAATAATCGTGACAACTTTTATCTTAATGTATTGTTTCACATGATTTTTTTTCGTCTTAGACTAGTATAGAGATACTAGTCTAATGTATGGATAAACATATATTTGTTTCACAATGTTTTTGCTTCATATGTATGTGGTTTACAGTATGAAACTTTTTTGTGTGTAACTTTTATTTGACAAACATGCTAAAAGGATTCACATTGTGAAATAAATATATGTTAATCGATGTTATAAATCGTAGTTTTAGATGAAATAGTAATATGAAATATCACTTGATGCATCAATTCTCAAGATTATCACAATTTTATAGATAGAATAAATTTATAT